CTGCCACCGTCTCCCTGCCACCGTCTACCTGGCACCGTCTCCCTGCCACCGTCTCCCTGGCACCGTCTCCCTGCCACCGTCTCCCTGGCACCGTCTCCCTGCCACCGTCCCCCTGCCACCGTCTCCCTGGCACCGTCTCCCTGGCACCGTTTTCCTTTCACCATATTCCTGTCACCATCTTCGTGTCACCGTTTTCCTTTCACCATCTTCCTGTTCCCATTTTCCTTTCACTGTCTTTCTGTCACTGTTTTCCTTTCACCATTTTCTTGTCACCTTCTTCCTTTCACCATCTTCCTGTCACCGTCTACCTGTCCCCTCAGATCTCAACAAAAAACCAGTGAACAGAAAGGTGCCCTGTTTCGTGTCAGCAGAGGAGTAAACAACAGGCCTGCCCTCTATAAGAGGACAAACAGCCGCCCTAGCTGGGACGGGGGCTGTATGTCAGATGCGGGGTCAAATCGAGGCTCTGAGTGCCTGTGTGTTCAAGACCCCTTGGCTCTCTTGGGAAGCGCAGGGCTGCCGGTGCCGGCGTCAGACTCCAATTCCAGTCCTCTTTTCTATTTCCACAGACTCTGCAGCTCGTGTCTCAATTGCCCCTTCTGCTCACTCAAACCCACGGCCCTTATGGGCTCCTTGTCTCCCGTCTAACCCGTCCTGCTCCGGCAGTGCGGCCTGCTTCGCTGATTGAGGCTGCCACCGCTGCGCTTACCCTCAGAGGCCTCATCTCCGCCGTCCCGCTGCCCTGAAGTGATCACGAAACAGTTGATGAGCTTTTTTGGGGTGCTGCTGCCAGTTCCAGCTCCTCTTCCCGCCTCCCACTTTCTTCCCTTCTGTTCAGACCCTCAGACTTTCCTGTGCCTTTCACCTGCATTGCGCATATTTCTGGCCGAGGTTCCTCATAACGTTAGAGAGACGAGGTGAGCGAGGGAAGATCTTTGATTGGACCAGCTTCAGGTGGTGAACGGGACAGGCCATCAGCTACACAAAGCTTAGGTGGGCACAAAACTTCACCAGCAGAACTTCGTCCAGTCAACAATACTCCCTCGCCAACTTTGTCTCACTTGTAGACCAGGACCAACATGGCTACCGGTAATAACACAGGAGTTTGACCTTCCAAATGGGGGATTACAGCATGAAGAGGGATAAGAACAGGTCCTGCAACCTAGGACCAAGGCTCCCAGCCCTCTGGCTCCAGAGCAGCTTCCAGCCTTTGCTGCCAAGGGTCAGCAACGCCTGAGGGACGCACGCGCCGCAGGGAGGGGGGGAGGTTGAATCTGAGGAGGGGATGGGACAGTGTAGAAGTTGGCTTCATGGAGAGTGGTGATAAGGCAAGGGTCCCAGCCTTCTTGAGCATAATGACCCCTTTTCAAGCTATTACATTTTTCTGGACCACCCCCTCCTTCTGGAAGAAAAAAAGAGAGAGAGAAAAAAGAAGAAAAAAAAAGTGGGGGGG